GGTCGCCAGCTCTACCCACAGAGCCAACCGGGCGCCCTGTTTTTTATTGTTTTATCTTTTTACTTATTGCTATGTTTTACACTGTTTTATACTATATATTGTTACTGATGCTGCTATGGTTCCTAGTGTTCTGTTGTTTGTGTTGTTTTTACCCCGTAAAGCACTTTTTTTAAAGGTGCTATATAAAGGAAGTTTATTATTATAATTATTATTATTTTTAGTAACTTATCATCTAGTGCCACCAATAACGTTTCTTGCAATACCATGTTAGCATGCTGACGTACAGCCTCAAAGCTCAGCCTCATGCTAATGTGCTCACAATGATACAAAAATGCCGATGTTCAGCAGGTAATGTTAACCATATTCAGCATTGTTGTTTAACATGTTAAGATCCTTTGCAACATTCAAATTAGCACTCCAAACTAATTAGCTAAAAGTGGCTAAAATGTGAGTGATATTTTAGCACAAGTTTAGGCTACTGTTTGCCACAGTATCTAAATCAAATTCCTGTGGCAACACATAAAACATATGGTGTGTATTTGTCTTTACATATGGGGGTGGACCTACCGTGTTGCTAAAAGTGGATAAGTGTGTGCAGGGCTCTGCCATGCCTCCTTGCCTCGTGGTAAACTGTCAAACAGCAGCAGGTCTTTCTCCGTCACAACCACCAGCACCGGCTTCCAGGACTGCTTCTCGCTCTCTGTCTGAAGGACACACATATAAACAGTGAGAAAGGGAAGGTTGTATCCGCCTATCCATTTTCTATATGATTTCTCATCCTGTGCAGGGCCATGGTTAGGGCTGCTGTTTGTAAACACTTGACAACTGATTGTCTGTGTCTGACCAGCAGCAGCCCCAAAAAAGTATTAAGTATGCAATTTTCATAATAATATCAACAAATCTCCATGTAGATGTAAAGGTTTGAATTGGTAAACTAAATATTAAGATTCTAACCTATTTCAGTAAAACAAATGAATGAATCAGTTCTACAGGTTGCTCATGTTGAATTGGAATCAAGCACAACCTTGATTAATTTAATGCTGCAGGATTTGATGTACCTTTGCCCTCTTACATTTGTCACAAATACTGAAATCGTCCTCAGGTTTTTAGATGAAAGCAGGTATTTCATCAGTAAGATCAATGGTTGCGTGCCAGGGAGCTGCTTTATGGGACTAATGTTGTGTCAGAGAGAGGAATCGTGTGTGTGTTTAATATGTAAAAGACTGTGTGTACTCAGCAGTGGGTGTAGACCGGTCTTCCCCTCTAGACTTAATCCAAGACTGGGTATGCAAATATTATTTTTCTCTCTCACTTCTGTATACCTAAACCCTTTCCACCTGTCTCTCTGTCATATTTCACTCCAAATACTCCAAAAATGATCTAATTTGGGTTGTTACGAAGCTGGCCTGGTCCCTTACTGTAAACGTGTATGTTCACTATACTGTCTGCACAGTGGAGAATTAGCTAAAAATAAAGGTGGCTGGTGTGTAGGTACACTTTCCAAGCATTTGCTTTGCTGTGCCCCCTCACCCAACCGTCTCCTCCTAACGAGCGAACGTCAGAACACACACTGTAAATCTCTTAACTTGAAGCACACGCACACGCAGCCCGGTATTTTATTTTACAATGCTCCATAACTATTCTCATTATGAGAGCTTATCTTCAGCCCAGCCGTGGAATCCTAAGCTGCTCTTTGAAGTTATGCCTCAGCCAATCATATCGTGGGATTTAGAGGGTCAAGGGTCAGCCTTTTAACATAATGAGAATATGTTGCTAAGTAACAGTATTGTACTGCATTTGAAGGATCAAATATTGGCAAATTCATGAGGACTAAATTAGACAGGTATGAATGTGTGTGTGCATGTGGATATATTTGCACAGGTGTGTGTCTGTGTGTGAAAGGGAGAGTGAAGCTTTATCTGTGTGTCTGTGTGTGCTTGTATGAATATGTGTGTGTACAGAAGATAAGAGTAATACAAAAAATATGTGCGCAAACACGGGTACCTTTCCACACACATACAAATTTGCAATTCTATACCCTGTTTCTCCTAACGCATCCCTGAGCTCACAGCATTAACCTTAACAATCACAACTAAATGCCAAACCTTAATTCTGTCCTGAACGTAAACTAAATCTAATTCTAACCATATCCTGATTATTATTATTAGATAACTGTGATTCACAGGGCGGAAACTAAGTTTAGTTGATTGATACGTTTTGTTCACGGCAGACAATATATAAAAGACATACTGCCACAGCAACAGTAAGACTAAAGGCCTCAGTATGCTCCCAACGCGCGCGCGCGCACACACAAACACCAATGTCGGAATTTGGGGGCTTTGTCTGACCATTTATGTAACTTTTTGAAAGTGACAGTCCGATATTCACACCCACATCACGTAGTAAGTAAAGAGGGTTTGAATTTCTCTCTCAAGCCCTCTTTTTTCATTTGCTACACGATTACTTTGTAGTTTTTAAATTGACGGAAAGTGTGCACTGTTATTACCATAATTAAACAATATTACATCTCCCCCCTTTATTTCACCCCGCTTCCAAGTGGGTTATTCGGAACAGCTGTAAACACTTTTGCCTTCAGATATGATTAGACGACACTTTGTATGAAGTAGCTCGTGTCAAGCACGCCATGGGCTTTACAAAAAACACTTCAAGAGGAAATTAAGAGGAGCCTACTTAGCCACTAAACAATTTACGATGTAAATACAGCTGATCAATTAATACATAAAATGCTAATCATAAGCACCTCAAACCAAGCTGCCAAAAAATTTTATAATTCTAACAAGTATGAGACAAAGCCTTATAAATTGTACAAAATGTAAAAAATACAATTTATATCTCAGAAACTAGCAAATGCCATCCCATATCTTGACTTTTTTTTAAAAAGTCCATACTTTTAAGGTGTAAAACTCAAATTTCTCCTGACAAAGGTAAAACAAAAGCACACACATGCTTATACACACACCTACACACCATAGTCACAAAATGGTCATTAGAGAGAAGGTACCAGATCTAGAAGCATGAGTGTCACACATAAAAACACACAAACACATATAACTGTACAGTTGGGTATTATGAAGCATTTTACACTTGTCTCTGTCACATGCACACACAAACACATACACGCACACACTTCTACCTTCCCTGCCAGCCATCCCAGGTGTCGTATCTCTTTGCTGCCAGCAACCCCCGTCCTGGCTGTGTTCTGGATGACCTCTGCCAGCGCATGCTGTGGGGGGATGACAGTTTTTAGGATAGATGATCATTTAGGATGCATTACGTTCAAAGCAGCTCTGAAGAGCTGAATCATCGCCACAGTAAAATGTCTTTTTCGAATGGTCACATTGATGAGAATTCTCTGTGAAATCAATGAAATCAAAGACAGACCTGTGCCAGTGTGGATGTAACAGAGTGCATGGCAGAGAACCAGGACAGGGCAGATGGTTGGTCTGGGCACCGCAGCACCACGGTGTGCCGGGTGTCAGGGGAGTGCAGCTCCAGTTGTCTGGAGGAGGAGATAAGAAAAGTTAAAACAGCTTTAACCTCTCTGTTATCATTGGATGGGTTGTAAAACTTTTATAGTTCACAACCCTTGATGAGTAAATTCACTTTCAAATATTGAACATATATTGCTAGCCTTATCAGGCAGGCCCAATTTGACTCAATTTAATCCCAGCTCATGGTTTTAGAAACCAAATGTTATCCATTTAGGTTTCAGCTTCAACAGATGCTCGTTTGTCTCATCCACTTGAAAATGGGCACTCGGTCAGAACAATGTAATGAAGTGCATTGAAATTTCAGTTTATTCAAGTCAATTCAAAACACAAAACAGGCATTGCTCATGCATCCTCTGTGGGCCATATGACACAATGCTGTCTCCCACTAAATTTCCATAACTAATCTCCTTATATCATATGGGAGTATATCAGACCTCGAGAGAAATGCATCTGTAAGATGCTTCTCCATCTCACTGAACGGCTCTTTGATTGTGTGCTGAGTGAATATGAATTTTAAAAAGGTACACGTTGCAGCCTTTACAGTGCATAAAGCAGTGCAGTGTTGCTTCATATTGTAGCATCAATGTAGTTAGTGTTCATCTCTGTGGAGTAAAATCAGCAGAAGAAATACTCTGGAAAGGTATGGGGTAAACCGTCTAGAATAAAGATGCAAAGTAAGAGTGATCTTTACTTTGACACACAAACAATCGCTGACTCAGAGGTTTAGAGGACAAAACCTCCGTGAATGGTTCTTCATTGTGTGCTCATGCTGAGATTTGGCCATCTTTGAAGAATATGAACCTGTCCCTGGAGGTTTAAGCAGTGAAAAGGCACAAACTGAAGCTAAAGTGGAGTCATTTCACAATTTATTTATGTTAAATATGTTGTCTATGCTGCTCCAATCAGTATTTGTAGTAATAAAAAACCTTTAAGGCAAAGCAGAAAGTAGAGATGTGAGATTTTAATCTGCATGTCAACACGGAACTGTTGTATAGTGAATGAAATGAGGAGAAACAGTACAGTCAGTAAAACTTGCTGCAGGATGTACCCAGGACAATTTTCTGGAAGTACATGTTCAGTTTTATCTCACAACATAAATATAAATCCATTCTGGATCCTTTGAGTTCATACCAACTCTGAAACAATCTAGTGCCTCTGTTAACAGCACTCCACTGTCCAGGTGCTCCCAGTGGTTTAAAATAGAAACTACTCCAAAACCAGGGTGGTTTCAACTCTGCAAACATGCTTTCTTTGCAGCTTTCTTTATTCACACAGCACACACTGGGGACCTGGAAAAGCCCCGGTGAATGTGATGAATCTGCTTTTCCATCAAACCCTCGGAGGAGGGAAAGACCGTCTGGATCAGCTCCAGGTGTTTCTCTGGGTTAAAAATACAACTGCTGCCTGTAAAAGGCAAGTTGATTAAGGACAGGCCAGGGGAGAGCAGAGGGGGAGGAAGCGTTGAAGACTCCAGGGCCAGATGTGAGTTTGGTAGAGGAGATTCTTTAAGGATGGTGTGTGTTTTAGCAACTTGACTCCCATGAGTTATTGTAGACTTAGAGGAAGCGTTGTCTGCCATTTTCTGTTGTAGATGTGCAGTGGCTTTGGGACTAAATTTCCCATCTCTTACAAGTGTGTGACAGTGGATTAACACGGGGAATCAGTTAGAGAACAGCACATGGACTGGATGACCCTTACATAGACTTGAAGGTATGGAATTATTTAAGTCTGGTCCTGCTTTAATGAAGATCAATCTCACACTTGATCAAAAGGTAGTTGTTCTCACAGGATCATCACTATATATATCAAACATCTATTCAAGCTTGGAAGGTCTGTTCCAGCATACAAATATGATTCAATATGCAATACTTTTATTCTAATTATTAAATGGTGAACTCTGTATGCACACAAAAGTTCAATGAAAAGAAATGTTTCATTGGCAAAATATCTATTTTAAAGCAAGGACGCCCTTGGCAATGCTGTTGAAATACTGATATTCTTGACATAACAAAACAAAATATAAGCCTTTTGGAATTAAGCTATTAAATGTGTGTCACAGATTACCTCAGAGAACATGAAAACATGGTTTTATTTCACAGTTAATCAATTCAATTGTTTGTTTTGGCCCATGCTGCTTCTGCCTAGATCCAAACAATGACTCAACATGGAATTGTTGCTGCACACATACGCTTCAGTCAGAGCTGTTTTCAAGTTTTTTGGGACAAGTCCAAGATCCAAGTCTTGAGCCTTGCCAAAGAATATCTCAAGTCATGTTTCAAGTCCTTAGGGGTAATCTGTCATATGCAAATTGCAAATGAATTGCAGGTCTGACATCATTTAAACATTTTCCTTATAAAGCTTTGTAACAGCATGTTTACGTAGCTGTGTACTTCAATGCATGAGCATAATAATTATGATATTTACTGTAAGGTGTGTGGCCATGCAAGGCTTGTCTGTTGCTGTATTATTTATTAGTTTATTTATCTTTATCTGAACTACAGTTAAAGGTTTCCCCATGGTTTTAGAATGATTATTTTCTGGTAATATATTACTTATTTCCTGGGATGCGTATGATTATGCTGTTTCATTTTTAGTATGACAATAACTACAATATCTTTGAGGTTCATACAACACAACAGCACCAATCATTCAGAAACCACTGATCCTCTCATTAGCAGCAACCTCTCACCAGTTTTGGCTCTAGTTTTTGAGTTTTTACAGGTTGTTATATGGAAACATTTGACCATCTTTACAGTTCTTTCCCAAGGTTATTAGCGTGGGAAGAATATCTATCACATAGTAGTCTGTTATTTTAGTGGTTTGAGGAATGGCAGCATTGTTCTTGAATATGTAATGGTATGTTTGATTTAGCCACTTGTTGTATATTCTGTTGCCCAGTCTGCATAGTTAGCTTTACAAATTTTGCATGTTCCTTCTTTCACTTAATCTAAGAAATATTTTGCCACACAGCTAAACTGTAAACTGCCATTTCAGCATGAAAAGTAATCGGAATGTGTGGAGAAAGTGTCTGTGTTTCAATACATACACAGTATTCAGTACAGACATACATGCACATGCTATAAATCTGTGGGTGCCGCAGGTATTTTTCATAAGAAACAGGGCCATTTTGGCAGAAATTCCCAGGAAATACTGGCAAGTACTTAAGAACTGGTCTCATGCCCTAAATCATAATTTATAGACTTCAGTGTGTGTATATATAAGATCACTGTCACAGGGAATACAAACAGTGTTCCACATTAACCCCTAATGCTTGAAAATGAAACGGGTCAAGAGACATGCTTTTTTTGTAAGTGCAGTACATGTACAAGTACAGTAAAAGATAAAAGTAAGAAATTATATCATTCCACTTGTAAGGCCAATTTTGCGGCACTTGGATATGTGTTTTTTATGATAGTATCCTGGCATACAACTGACCTAGGTGAAAGAAAGTTGAGAATTGGAGAGAGAGTGTAAGTCTTTACATGCTTTCAAAAACTTGTCAAGGTTAAACTGAGGTACTGTAGAAAAATGTCATACTGTGAGGAACCATGCTGGTTCTGCCAGGAGTCATATCCTCCTTTTACACTGCCATACATGTTTTCTGAGGCTATCTAAGTCTCACACATTCACACTGCAGGTTTTCAAGTTTGTTGCCTCCGTAATGACAAAGATTAACAGTGAAAGAATTTTTTGTGCTAATTCATTTTCTTCTCCTTGCATCTTCTCCTTTTTTCTTGTTACTAATCTCTGCCTTTCCCACACCCTCTCATAACATTTTCAATCCACACTGTAAATGATAAGAGTTTAATCCTATCATTCTTTAATTTAATCTGTCACCAATGTCACAGAAAGTTAGAATTGTGTGTATGTTAAAGTAAGGTGAGGCAAAAATGGCTTCAGAGTGTTACATAAAGTAAAGATAAATCAAGACCTCTCTTCTCCCTAACTTCTCTTTTCTTGTCTTTTATCCTCTCTTCTGTACGCGCCACGCCTTTCCTCATATCCCCCTCTTATGTGTCTCCTCTAAGGCTTCCACACAGTTTAAACAACATCTGCTGAAATGAAGAGAGAAGCCCTCAGAGGGACGCAACATTGCACTGAGTCTAGTAAAAAAAAAGATAAGCCAGATTTCCCTGTCACTTAACATAAAGCCTCTTAAACCATTTCAGCTCTGGACCCAAAATAAGAAAAACAGAGAGTAGGTTTAATCTTTCCCTGCAATCTTTAACAGATGTATATTACTTAGGAACACCAGAAGTATTGACCTTTCCAGTATAAACGTTTCATGGTTTACGTCTCACAGACTGGATTTTAACATCCGTGTCCTCCCATTCAAACATTTACTAAATCTTTACTGGTGAGTCAAAGAGGAATTTGTCCTTGCTGTGAGGATACGGAAAGAACTTCATAAAAAACACATACTCGTCAAGGTAAATTTGGCCAAGGACTTTATCTGTGCTTGTGAATCTGCCCTACAGCTCTATCAAACCACAAAACACCGTCTTATCTGTGTACAGCAAAAACTCAGCTTGTCACTAGATGAGATACTGACTCCAATTCCTTGTATAACTGGTTGACCAATAAAGTCAAAGTTATGGCCAATAAAGTGAATGTTCAACCATATTGCGCTCTTAAAAGCTTTAATACTTCAACCAAGATTTGTGAAAGTGCACTGAAACTTCCACCAAACTGTCTTTGGGCGTTTTGAAATGTATGATTAAATTCTATTTCATGTTTTTAAGGGAATATCTGTCAAGCAGTTGTCCCTACGTGCTTCAAAACCACGTCCATCGTGCCGGTGCCCAACACTCAACTGCAGCAAGCCTCAATGACTTCCGCCCTGTTGCACTCATGAAGTGCTTCGAGAGGCTGGTCCTGGCT